CAGAGTCAATCATTTCATATGGGATCACTACCTATGGTAGGACATTCAAAACATATTTGGACAAAATATACAGCCTACAACTTCGGCTTTTAAAAATAATAATACCTGATAAAATTAAAAAATCAATCTGCTTCGGAGACGATGTATTAGCTTTATTTAAATATTGTAAAATCTTGCCTGTTCATATTAAAAAGAACCATAAAAATGTGGCTATTAATTGAACAATTTACCAACAAAGATATACAAATAAAAGTGAATCATAAAACAACGACATGGAAAGTAACTCAATCAAAACTAGAATTACCAAGAGTTAGAAATTATTACGGAAAACCAACGAACGCGTATTTAATACCAACCCTCATTAATAATATAGGTACCTACTAAAATTCGATTAGGAATAAATATAAGCAATACTTTAATTCTTTACTTTAATAACAAGTAGTCTCATTTTAATGAAATCAAACCTAACGTAATATCATATCGATAATCAAAACATACTGTCTATAACACACTCAAGTAGGATCACCCGGCCGGCCGCCTGCTGCGCCGAGCTGCTTATCTCGGCGGTTAACCGGTTCCATTATGTCGACCTTTATGTAAACAATGTACACATACTTCATACTGTTAACTACGAGAGCGGCACTGAAAATTTCGGGAATCAAGGAAGTGACACAATATTACTATTTAAAAATGTATTTATTGCTTTTCGAAGTATTCTCCGTGAAATTTGACATATTTTTCCATACGATGGAACCAATCATTGAAGCAACCATTCCATTCGGAAGTTGGGGTCTCTAAAATGGCCGTTTTATAGGCGTTCACAGCTTCTTCAGGTGATGAAAATCTCTGTCCACGTAATTTATTCTTTATTTTAGGGAAAGTATAGAAATCATTAGGGCTTAGGTCGGGGCTGTACGGCAGATGGTCTAATAATTCAATGTTTTCTTGCTCTAAAAACACTTTTGTTCTGTGTGCGGTGTGAAAACTCGCATTGTTGTGATGGAGGATGATGCGGCGGTTGCAGTTCTCTTTACGGAGTTCAGAAATGACCTGTGGTAAACAAATGCTAGCATACCATTCTGCATTAACCGTTCTTTGTCCGTCAAGAGGAATATTCGTACGTGGTAGAGCCATGCTGCAGTTATATTAGTAGTATAGTTGTAGCACGAATGGGTCGGCTCGACCGGGGAAGGACCACGCTCTCACAGAATACCAGCGTGAAATAGTAGCTTAATGCTGCTGTATTTCGTATGGTGAGTGTAGAGAACCGGAGACTCTTTTTACTGGAAACGAGGCATTCCATCTTAGTCCTCACGGGTGACAACGCATCTGCATTTTGAGGATAGATGTAGATGTCTATGGGCCACAGCCACACTCCCGAAAAGAGACCATTCCTCCCTTCTTTTCTTAATCCCCTCCTTCCTTTTCAATTGGTTGGTGGATATATGACCACTTACCATCAGGTGGACTGTGTGCTCGTTTGTCACCCTATCCTATAAAAAAAGGCCGGTTTTGGAGACAAACGTGGCCATCATTTTTTTTGCAACACTCCGTGAACGAACAATTTTTGTTAGCTTTAACTCATTTTCGAACACCCAAACTCGTGACTGGTTTTTTGTTTCGGGTTCGTACGCATATATCCAGGATTCGTCACCTGATACGATGTTGTATACAGCATTTGAGGATCCTGCGTGGAATCTTTTGAGAGTTCTGACGCACCAAGTAACGCGAGCCGCTTTTTTGCTCTACACAGAGCGAATGCGGTATCCATCGGGAAAACAACTTTTTTACACCTAATTGTTCATGCAAGATTATTTGTATTTGACTCATGCCAATGTCTAAAGTTGCCTGAATTTCGCGGTATGTCACATGTCGATCTTCCTCAATCAGCTTACGCACAGAATCAACGTTTTCTTGGGTGACTGCAGTTTTTGGACGACCTTGACGGGGATCATCACTGAGCTTGACACGTCCACGTTGAAATTCAGCAAAACAGCGATAAATTGTGGTTTTGGATGGGGCTTCATCACCAAATGCAGAAATCATCCAGTCAGCACACTGTTTTTGTGTTAAACCAATTCGAAAATCATAATAAATCATCGCTCTTGAATTTTCTCGAGTCAATTCCATTTTCTCAACGACTAAACAAGTTTGACAAAACCTTGTGACAAGATCGAAAATCTTTTTTTAAATAAATAAATGGTATTCAATTTTTAAAACCAAGGAGTTTTTAATTAAAATGATTTTAATATGACAGGAACAGTGGAAATATTCCATTCCCAATACTTTTAGTGAAGCCTAGTACTATATTTTAAGGCTGCCTCGTTGGTCTAGTGGTTGTATTAGTGCGACTGCTGATCACGAGGTCCTGGTTTCGAATCCCGGGTCAGGCCAAAAAATCAATTATTGAGTTTTTCCGTTAAGAAATTCTCAGTAGCTGCCAGAGTCAAGAAGTTGGCGGTGTCTCACCCCCGTGTCTCGGAAAGCACGTAAAACCGTTGGTCCTGCGCCTGATCTCTCTCCGGTCGTGTCGGTTTACCGTCCCATCGGATTATGAGAGTGAGGGAATAGAGAGTGCACCTGTGCTTGCGCATACACTTGGGCACTATAATCCTGTCCCGCGACGATGGCCAGTCTCAGTTGGGGCTGGCCGCCGTGACCGAAATTTGGTCTGGAGGACACGTGATAAATTAGCAAATCTTAAAATAATATTTTAGTGGACACGACAGGATCGAAATCAGTTTGATGACATACCATTGTATTTAAAAACAAGCACTCTTCTGCTTTATACATCGGTAACGTATTTATATATTCAGCAACAACATTTTTTATATATATTCACTAACTGCGCTCTTCGGTTTCACCCGAGTGGAATACTGTTCTCATTCTATGTCGCAATACAGGTTTACGTTGTTCACTCACATATGTGCAATAATTATATTAAAACGGTGAAAGTATTTATGTAAACGTACAAGTATATTTGTTATTAAACTCTGGAACTACTGAATGATTGGTGCCAAAACTTGGCTAGCCTTACTATAAAAGTGCACACGCAAGAATAAACTTTGTAACTAGGGAAGATATAGCGTTTTAAATGTAAATGTTGCAATGTATATTAATCATTGAAATAAAAAGTAATAAATTTAAATAAAAAAAAACAAATTTATAAAAAACATGTCTGTTAATAGATACAGATACAGCAAGGGTGGCTTATTTTAGTTATTTTCATGGTATAGCTATTATATGAACTTCAGAAAAGCCATTCGTGTCTTAAAAGATATCAGATTAGGGAACTCTTTCTCACTGAGGATCTTTTTAAACAAATGAAATGTTTTCACTGCTACTGAAACTAGATAATATCATCTATTTTACTTACAGCAACCCGACCCGGTTTCGCCAGGTTTATTCCACTATTTCCCACCTAAAGTTGGGAAAAGTGGACACTTTGAAATCTTTTCGTCTACTTTTGCCTACTAATCGTCTCCTGGTGGTACAAATTCATCATCATCATCATTACAGCATACATTTTTTTGCAATTATTTATCGATCATTTTTTTATTTTATTTCAATTTATTTATCAATATTTCGCTTTTACAAAAATCTTTTTGGAAATTTTTGGAATAAAATATAGCCTATATCTCTCTTGTTTTCTGCCTGTTTTTAAAGTTTCATCACAGTTCACATTCCATCAAATTCCATCACATTCCAAAGACTAGTCCGGACACATGGACAGGCAGACAGACAAACAAAAATTTCCGGAAACGGTTATTCATGACTTAATTCGATATAAAAGACAGACATATTGTTTATGTTTGTGTAGACGTTGAAAACTATTTTAATACTTTTGATAAAATGAGTGATTATAACTTTCATACAAGTAATTAATCTAAACTTGCTGTTACAAAGTACTGTCTCATTTTCGGGTAGATGTATAACTATTTTTCTACTTCTTTTATAGAAGCGGAAAGGAGCATACGGCTCACCTGTTGGTAAGTGATAACCGCCCAGTGGGTATGCCTAAAATCTCGTTATCTTTTATAACAATATTCTATATAATATAAATTTATGGTACATATAAAAAGCATTGCCATGAAAAAAGGTTAATATAGTTGGATGATTATTTAAAAGATATTAATGCTTGGATAAAACAGGCTTTTGTAGATTTTCTTAACTTGTGTAAATGCCGCAGTTAACTAACTTAATTGGCCTTTCGGTTAACATCCTATAATGTTTACTAAACGGCGCCGTTGAACTAACGGCCTGAATGATATTCACCCCATGCGTCTGACATGCCACCTATGTTATTCTCTTTTAAAAATATATATATATATATATATATATATATATATATATATATATATATATATATATATACATTTCTATAGTAGACACCCATATAGGATCAATTGAGGCAAATAATTCTCATGGTATCGTTGTCAAATTCAATTGAATTACTGCTCAATATAAATGTGTAAAAGTAAGAAAGTAAAGTGTCATTGCGGAGAAAGTTTAATATAAATAATATTGGCATATTAATTTTAAAATATAAAGAAAACAAACAGATTTGCTTGGTATTTTTATTTTATTTTACTTTATTAATCCATCGTCTCATCCTGCGGTTTTAATAGGAGGCAACTTAGGAAACACCTGCAAAAGCTTGTAGCCCTCGATAGACAGCGGTATATGCATTTTGTATACATCATAACGGAAAAAGAACGCAGACCGATGATGCACAGCAGCGTCTAGGGTGCAAGACACTTGGTATTGTTTATCTTTCAGTTTATTGTATATCATATTTTGTATTCCATTATATATCTCTCAGCGAGGTTATAATGTCAACATAACAGGGAAATATTTAATTAAGATATTCGGAGTATGTCTGAGGATAAAATTAAAAACTGATAAAATTTTGTTTATGTTTATTATTTTTGACATTTAGTTGTATTTTTCGTTCGTTCGTTCGTCAGCATCAGTATATAGCCTTTTCTCTCTTCCTTGTATTACCAAGAACGCACGTTTGTGATGAACGGAGTTGACCAAGACACGGGCGATGAATAGGTGAATGGGGAAGCATAGTAGGCGGAGATCAATGGTGCTGAATAAGTCGATACAACAGGGGCGGCTCCATATAAAGCTGCAGAACGTTTGCGAATACGATGTCCTTCAGCTAAGGCCTTGGCCTCAAAATGTGCAGCTCGGGCAGCGGCTACTTCAAGTGTATCAAGAGGCACAGCTGGTGTTGCGATCGCTGATGTGGTGTAAGCTGGTGCAACAATAGCACCGCGCGCAATGTTGTCACTTCTGATGAATGTCTGAGAAGCAATGCCTGATCCGTATCCAGCATCAAAACGGGTATCGTATGAGGCATATGGTGCTCTGTATTCGCTGGTTCTGTATAAAACTGGCGCAGTTGATATGGCACTGACAATAGCGGGAGAAGATTTAATGTCAACACGGGACTCTTTTGAGATGGAAACAGGAGTTGCAATGGCGGCTGAAGCTGCTACCGCTCCATACGCAATGGGACCTGTTGCAACAGTTTTGACAATGGTAGGAGACGATTTATATTCAACACGAGATTGGTACGATGCAGGAGCTGCGACAGCAAAAGCAGCTGGGTAGGTAAAAGAAGCTCCGTAAGCTACTGGAGTTGCTTCAAAATTACGAATGATGGCGGGGGAGGATTTTACTTCACACGTATTGATAAGACGATGCTGCAAGTTGCAGTAATAGGTGCTGTTTTAATCGTGCTTACAACTGCAGGTGAAGTTTTCACATCGACACGTGACTGGTAAGAAGATGCTACTGGTGCTGAAATAGCTACACGGGAAGCCACATCAGCTTGAGCATTATATACCAAAGGAGTAGCTCCATATCCTTCAATCGCAACAGGAGCGGACTTTACATCAACACGAGATTGGTAAGAAGTTGCTGCAGGGGCAGAAAAAGCTGTCGGTGAAGCGAAAGACGCAGTATAGATTTGGGGAGATGTCTCAAACCGGCTTATGACAGCAGGAGATGATTTAATGTCGTATCTGGTCTGGTATGATGAAGATGCCGCCGGAGTTGCAATAGCTGCAGGAGTCAATAAAGAACCACTATATGCGACGGGAGCAGCAGCAACAGTATTTACCAGAGCAGGTGCACTCTTAATATCTACACGAGATTGTTGTGAGAACGCAGCAGGACCCGCGACGGCAGCTGTGACGGCAATTGGTGCACTGTAAGCCACTGGTGAGGTCTCTACGGTCTTGACTACGGCTGGCGATGATTTAATGTCGACTCTGGATTCTTGTGTATAGGCCGCGGTAGCGCCCACGGCTGCAGGAACTGGTCCGCTTATAAAAGTACGAGAAACTGGCGCAAAATCAGCTCTGGCCACAAAAGACGGTGATGTCTGGACATCAATGCGTGATTGTGAAATATAACCAGATGGAGATGGTACTGAGTATGTTAAGCTACCCTCGAGATGCGAGGGTTTACTGGCTGCTAATGCTAGCACTGAAAATAACACCACCAGCGAATTCATCGTGGTCTGTGTTAATATAGATGCGGACGACGAAACGAGTAAAACAAACTGATGCTTTAATCGCATCTACAGTAGCGTTTTTATACTACGCTCCATTCAATTGGAAGAAAAGTCAAGTTCAACAAGTTTTTGAAAAATAAACCCTTTTACTAAAGTTTGGTGAATACATATTTGTCGCCATCGAGGTTTAAGAATACAAATAAAAGAAAATCTTTAAATATGACTAGGAAATAAATATCTTTCTTAAATATAATATGTCATTCAAATTCTTAAATTATACAATCCGTAGACCAGTTTTATACTCGCAGTAAATATTGCGATCAGTTCAGCGAACAGTAATTAAGTATCATATATAAATCTTACTAGGTCGCAACTCCATCCAGTGGGGCCTGTAAAGATGATTATGATGATGATGATGGTGAGGATTACAATATAGAGATTTCCTATTCCGTGTAGAGGCGGTGTTAGAACTACCCCATATCATCCTGTGGGTGTCGAAAGAGGCGACAGAAGGAAATGCAGATTGGCAGCAGCGTTAATCTAATAACGTCAAAAAAAACATCGGTTGCCAACCCTCTTGCCAAGCATGACAACTATGGAAAATATCGTCCTATGAGGCAATATATCGGGAGGCCTGTTTTCAGCAGTGGACTTTAATAGGCGGTAACGGTAACGGTGACAATAGACACCTAAACCTTTACATTTATTACACCTTTGTAAAAAAATTGGGGAAAAAACACTTTTCTTACTTTCACTTTCAAATTAGTATTGCTTTTGAAGTTAACCTGTATTCAAGTTATACATAATCTGATAGCTTATTTAATAATGTTTCTATTGGTATATGATTTTAATATACCTTTAATATACCTTTCATACAAAATGTCTTGGAAATAGTCATATTAATGAAGAAGAAAGGAAGTAGTCTGGAAGTACTTCAGGAAGTGTTTGACAGATGCGCCATATTGGCCAAAATAACCGCGACATTCGAGGGGATAAGAGAGGTGTACCTAGTCGTATGTTCATCAGTGGACTTAAGATAGGCTAATTACGTACATACTACAACTAAATAATGATAAGCTTTTGTACAACTTGTTGATTAGAAGGAGTCGCGGGCAAAAGTTATACAAAAATAAACAAATAAATGTCCTTAACGTAAACAATTAACATTTAATTTATATCTAAAATTAAATAATAATTAAATATTCTTAAAACCTTATAGAATGAGTAATTATATTGTTGTAAGCCAGAAAATAATTATGAATATCAGAATGAGAAATTTAGTGAACTAAAAAAAACTAAATTAAATTTAACTTTGTTAGTTCTTTTAATTACCGATATTTTGGGTGCTTGAGCACGGGAAACATGGCGATAACATCCGTAAAATAATTTAATTCAATGTGTAGTATTCGTGTAAATATAAAAAACCATTAACGGAATTACTTTTATATTTAACATTATATACTTGATCTATGTGATGACTTTTGTCCGGTTTGGTTTGATAAGGTAGTAGGTAATGGCTGGTTCAAGTATCTAATCACTACAGGAAAAACTTTGTTAACAATTCTTTGTCAATAATAATTATTAGTCACATTTGTTACTGATTTGGTTAATGATATGATATTTTACTTTTAAGGCTGAATATCGTCAAACTGCAGAAGTAAAGCCTGTAATCTTCTTTGAATACAGAAATTGTTTTATTCAAAGTAGATTATAAATTATACTTATTGAAAGACAGTATTTTATTTAATTTATCACAGGTTCCAAGAAAAAAAAAACATCTGCTCTGGAAAGAACGTAAGATTAAATTTTTTTGTAAAAAATAATAATAACAGCTTACAATAATATTATGAGTTACTTTAATATTATAATAACCCTATTTATACAAATGTTATTCAACAAAGTTTCAATATTTTCTGGAATTTTGTTTTTAAAAGAATGAGTTACTGACTCGGTGCAGTGGAGTAACTGCTACTACTAGTTTGTGTCTCTTCTTAGTATTTACAGAATGATTATCACTGATTTTTTACAACTAATTTTGTTTTTATGTACATAAAAAATAATTATATGTAATTTGGACTCTCAATACATTTTTATAAATGTATTGAGAGTCCAAAGTTAATATATTAATTTCCTTAAATTTTTGTCTGAGCTACACTTTAGGTTTTAAGTCATAGATTGATTTTATAACCCTTTTCTGTAAAACAAATATAATTTCAGTGTTAATCGCGTGGTCCCATTAGCAAAATACGATACGACATTATGCTATGGAAATAGCTAAATAAGTAATAAGTATAGTTTTTTTTTGAGCCGTGGTAGCTCAGATGGTTAGCGCTCGCTGTAGTACGCGAGCTAACCGGGTTGGATCCCCGCCGGCACCAATGAAATTGTTAATTGCAATTTTAAGTGCTGATTTACCACGTGCTCGGCGGTGAAGGAAAACATCGTGAGGAAACCTGCATGTCAGAGAAATAAAGAAAAAAAAATATTTCGAAGACATGTGAAGTTCGCCAATACGCACTGGGGCAGCGCGGCGGACAATTCCTTGCCCTAAAACCCTCTCAGAAATGAGCGGAGGCCTGTGCCCAGCAGTGGGACGTATATAGGCTGTAACTTTACTTTACTAGTTGTTTTTAAACATTGGTAAGATCTTTTTTCAGCATATGCTGAAGAACTAAGTCTGCTTACTAGTTTCGATATACGGGGGTCCCATTGAAGCTTCGCGTCTAGTGTCATTCCAAGAAAAACACGTGATTGATAAAACGATGCTGCATGAGTTGCAACAGTAACTGGCGGAGAGATTGTAGAAGTAACTGGTGCACTATAGTAATAGGTTATGTTTTAATCGTACTTACAACTGCGGGTCAAGTATGCAGGTGTACTGCAGGTGGTCTCGACAAGATCCAGGTCCTCCCCATTTACAATTGCATTAGTGTTTAGATATTTGACATTTGGAGTTATGAATTTCAGAAATTTAGTTTTAGTGCCATTTAATTGCAAATTATTAACGTTAAACCAATTTACTAATTTAGATATAGCATTAATCCAACCGTTTAATGTAAGTTGGAAGACACAGATTACGATTATTTATTGTATATATGTATGTATTTTTCATATGGTTGCAGCGCGAATGGGTCGGGTCAACTCGACCACGCTTTCACAGAATCCAAAGACATTTAAGATATATATATATATATCTTAAATGTCTGACAGAATCCCAGCGTAATTATGTGTGAAGAATGAAGAATAATCTAACCCAAATCTAATCTTATCCCGCGGTTAGCGTGGGAACGAAATGGGCAGCGTCACTTCTATACAAATAAATAAAACTGAAGTGTCTGTTTGTAATGTCAAAATAACAGCTTCTTACTTAATGCATATAAAAGTACACATATACAGTACTTATAACAAAAATACAATTTTTACAATTTTTGCCTGTCTGTCTATTTGTACCGGCTAATTTCCGAAACGACTGGACTGATTTTGACGGGACTTTCACTGGCAGATAGTTGATGCTAGGAGTAATTTACTAAGGCTACTTTAACTTTAAAACATATTTAGAATTCCGCGAAAAAAAAAATTAAAACCCTAAATTACATGCGTGCTAAGCCGTGGAAACAACTAGTATCTAATTAAACTTTAATAATTATAAAGATCCGAGGTTGGAAAACCAAACATGGCATTTATATAATAAATAAATGCATTCTATGGGAGAGGCCTATGTTCAACAGAAGACTTGTGATGTAATAAATAAATACATTTTATTATTTTCTTTCAGAAATTTAGAAATAGACATAAACATACAACTCAATATGCTACTAATTGGATTCCCTCTATGACAGATAAATGAATTAGCAAATTTATAAAACAGGAACTATATTTAACCACAAAATAATCCACTTACCATCGGGTGGACTGTGGACTCGTTTGGCGACCTTATTCTGTAAAAAAACAATTAATATTTTTTTTAAATTAATAACAATGATACATGTTATTTTATTGTGTTAAGTATTACTATAAGAAAGTAAGTCTTGTCTATTGTGACAGCCGCGTGATGTTATAAGCTAGTAGATTCTACGGCATGACTACACGGCCACTATAACTTGGAAGCCTTCCTCCAGTATGAATGATATTTGCACAAGCAATCTTCATTTTATTTTTAAAAACGTTATACATGTAGTACGATTTTCCCCTGTATTCATGGAGGTAATTCAGACGGGAAATTATCATTAGTTGGCCATATAAACTCTTGTTTCTTCCAAAATAAATGCTAAGCCACTCCCCTACACTACTTAACCGATTTTAATCAAATTTGTGCAGTGCAGTTTAGCTCAACTTGAGAGATAGGATAGTTTTTTGCCCATGAGTGACCCACAATTATTTTTTGTGAATTAATGATTTAAGGATTTTAAATAGGACACGACAAAGGGTCGTCGAAAAGGGCAGAACAACGTCTGCCTGGCAAGCTAGATATATATATATATATATATATATATATATATATATATATATATATATATATATATATATTCAGATTTTTCTGAAGAATTAATTTTTGAATCTGCTTTGTTCTGAATAACAACTTTATTTTTATTAGGGGCGCCTTATACTTGCAGTACTTACTTAGCACTTAATTCTTCGCTATTAATATTTATCGTATATCTATTTTCGTTTATGTAGCGATAGCAATGCAAATTTCAACAGTTCGTTGCAGTGAAAAGTTTAGAGCACCTAGATTTTAAACTTGGCACCTAATTAGCACATAAAAAGTCCCTAATTTTGGTTTTTACTAAATGAAAATTCCTGATTTTGCGTTGCTGCCGAGACAGCATTGATTACTGGCCTATCAGACTTTAAAAGTGAGGAAATAGAAAGTGCACTTGTGCTTTCGCATATACTTGGGCACTATAATCAGTTCCCGCGCAGATGGGTAGCCTTCTTTAAAACTAGACGCCGTGACCTACATTCGGTATGGAGGTTTTTTTACATGGTAGAGCCATACTGCAGCTATATTGTGGTTGCAGCACGAATGGGTCGGCTCAACCGGGGTGGGACCATGCTCTTACAGAATATCAGCGTAAAATAGCAGCTTAATGCAGCTGTGTTTCGTATGATGCGTGTAGAGAACCGGAGATACTTTTTACTGGAAACAAGGCATTCCATCTCAGTACTCAGGGGTTGAAAACGCATCTGGCTAATTTTATACTATCGCGGTCCCCTCGTTTTTTGGCTCTAGAAAAAAGAATAAATCATCCGATTTTCCAACCTCGAATCTTGATTATTATTAAAGTTTGATTAGGTACTAGTTGTTTCCACGGCTTAGCACGCATGTAATTTAGGGTTTTAATTTTTTTTCGCGAAATCCAATTATGTATTAAAGTTTAAGTAGCCTTAGTAAATTACTCCTATCATCAACTATCTGCCAGTGAAAGTCCCGTCAAAATCAGTCCAGTCGTTTCGGAAATTAGCCGGTACAAATAGACAGAGAGACAAAAATTGTAAAAATTGTGTTTTTGTTATTAGTACCGTATATGTATATTTTTATATGCACTTAGTAAAAAGCTGTTATTTTGACATTACAAACAGACACTTCAGTTTTATTTATTTGTATAGATGTGACGCTGCCCATTTCGTTCCCACGCTACCCGCGGGATAAGATTAGATTTGGGTTAGATTATTCTTCATTCTTCACACATAATTACGCTGGGATTCTGTCAAAGACATTTGACCGTGCTTTGTGGCGTTACTTGGTGGAGGCCTACGTTCAGCAGTGGACTTGTGAAGGGCTGTAATGATGATGATGATATATATATATATATATATATATATATATATATATATATATATATATATATATATATATATATATATATATATAGCTCGCTTTGTTCGATCTTACACTCAATAAAACACCAAAATATTAACTTTTATAATTATTTTGATTTTCTAGAGCGTTTATGATAACTTTTAAAGTCAGAAAACCATATAAAAACTTTAAGTGCGAAAAATTAATAAAAAACATTTTTCAATTTTTTTTTAAATTTTCGTAAGTCATAAAACTATATGAAATCTTCAGATGTGATATTTTCCATATTTTTTTCATAAATCCACAGTAAAAACGAAGATTTTACAAAAATAATTCATCGAAATCGGATGATTTTTCGATTTTCTAGAGCCAAAAACGAGGGACCGCGAAAGTATAAAATTACCCGTATCTGTATTTTGATTCGTAGTTGAAGATATATGTAGATGTCTATGGGCCACAGTATCCACTTACCAACAGGTGGACCGTATGCTCGTTTGTCACCCTTATTCTATAATAAAGGAAATTCTTAATGCAAAATAATTTGCCAAAGTAATATTGAATGAGATAGCGAATTGCCTATAAAGTAATTTAGTGATAGCGGTAAAAGGTAATCCATCCCTTCACTCCGCGGTAGAATTCGCACGACTCCACTAAACATTGCTCGATGAGAGATGGGAAAAAGCAAAAAAAAAATGCGTAGCGTCTAAAACTGCGGTTAACAATTCACCTGTTTAGTGTGGTCAAGTTTGATTGAACGTATCTAACAATGAACTATTTACCGGGCGATAAACAATAAACGAGGATGGATGAATGTGATATTTAATAATGTCCCCCAGACCGATTTTTGTAACGGCAGCTAGTTCTACCCATTTGTGCAGGATAGGATTATGCACGAGTGCGTGAACAAACACATTTGCAGTATGGATTTCCTAGATCTCATAGTTAGTTTTTTTATTATGCATAAATTATGCTCTATGGTCTTTTTATCATAATTTATGAATTATTTAAGTAATTAATTATTCTTGTTATTCTACCGGGTGCTTATATATTACAGTAAAATGCTATTATATTATTTTAGCTATTACTAGATAAAAAACATCTTCATGTTTCAGATCCTTGAAAATAATAATGTTTCAACTATATTTTGTATTACCACTTATAATTCTTGTGTAGTAGGTAGAAAAAAGCAAAACTATTATAAAATAATTTATTTAAGTAGAATTTCATTGCGTAGAATTTATACATCGTTGTAAGGAGACATAGATTTGATTTGTTTTTACCAAGAATGAACGCCAACGGGTACAACAGCTGAAGCAACATATGGAGTACCGTATACAGTTGGTGCGATCAATGACGATCCATGAACCACGCTCGTACTGTATTGAGACACAGAACTGACAGCTGGCACAGCAGTATACGTTAAAGGCACCACGTATCCAGGCTTGGCTGCCGCGAGAGCCAGCACGAAGCACAACGACACCAGCTTGTACATTTTTTTCTGCGTTGTGTACGTTGAACGAAGAAATTAGATCAACTTATGCCTAATACACGTCGTGGGATGTTTTATATACCAGTTTTCTCGACTAATGACCAATAAAAATGCTACAGAGCCACCTTCAAACTTCTGTGTCGCTGTCACACAGTATTGTTATGATTATGCAATAGAGCTGCAATAAAATGTCAAAAGACGCGGAATCTGCTAATAATGTGTTATATTTGATATAGTTTATAAGTTTACTATTTTACATACACGAAATGTAAATAAGTTTTAGTTGAAAGAAGAGTAATTTTTTGGATATGGAACAATTTAAAAGTTAGGTTCTCACTATCGGAATTATTATGTATGTATCATTATGACTATCATGACAGCCTATCACGATTCAACTGCTGAACCTAGACTTCCCCTATAGATTGCCACAAAGTCCGGTCCAGAGGCACTTGCATCCATCAATTACTTGGGTATTTAATCATGTCGTCACTCCAACTAGTGGGGAGTTACGGTTGCAAAACTTTTGGTTGTTTATAACAGAACATCGTTCATGTGTAAGCACACATAGTATTTTCCATGCAATAAGACATTTTAAGAAAATAAATACTGTTAAAATTATAACTATATAATTATATTTGATAACTTTGAATGCATTTAGCTAGCAGACTATATAATGCACTCACAGAGTCAATCATTTCATATGGGATCACTACCTATGGTAGGACATTCAAAACATATTTGGACAAAATATACAGCCTACAACTTCGGCTTTTAAAAATAATAATACCTGATAAAGTTAAAAAATCAATCTGCTTCGGAGACGATGTATTAGCTTTATTTAAATATTGTAAAATCTTGCCTGTTCATATTAAAATAAAAATGTGGCTATTAATTGAAAAATTTACCAACAAAGAAATACAAATAAAAGTGAATCATAAAACAACGACATGGAAAGTAACTCAATCAAAACTAGAATTACCAAGAGTTAGAAATTATTACGGAAAACCAACGAACGCGTATTTAATACCAACCCTCATTAATAATATAGGTACCTACTTACTAAAATTCGATTAGGAATAAATATAAGCAATACTTTAATTCTTAACTTTAATAACAAGTAGTCTCATTTTAATGAAATCAAACCTAACGTAATATCATATCGATAATCAAAACATACTGTCTATAACACACTCAAGTAGGATCACCCGGCCGGCCGCCTGCTGCGCCGAGCTGCTTATCTCGGCGGTTAACCGGTTCCATTATGTCGACTTTTATGTAAACAATGTTTAATAACACATATTTCATACTGTTAACTACGAGGGCAGCACTGAAAATTTCGGGAATCAAGGAAGTGACTTATATTAGTATTAGTAGTATTATTATATTAGTTAGTTATATTAGTAGTATAGTTGTAGCACGAATGGGTCGGCTCGACCGGGGAAGGACCACGCTCTCACAGAATACCAGCGTGAAATAGTAGCTTAATGCTGCTGTATTTCGTATGGTGAGTGTAGAGAACCGGAGACCCTTTTTGCTGGAAACGAGGCATTCCATCTTAGTCCTCACGGGTGACAGCACATCTGCGTTTTGATTCGTAGTCGAGGATGGATGTGGATGTCTATGGGCCACAGCAACCACTTACCATCAGGTGGACTGTGTGCTCGTTTGTCACCCTATCCTATAAAAAAGGCCGGTTTTGGAGACAAACGTGGCCATCATTTTTTTTTGCAACACTCCGTGAACGAACAATTTTTGTTGGCTTTAACTCATTTTCGAACACCCAAACTCGTGACTGGTTTTTTGTTTCGGGTTCGTACGCATATATCCAGGATTCGTCACCTGATACGATGTTGTATACAGTATTTGAGGATCCTGCGTGGAATCTTTTGAGAGTTCTGACGCACCAAGTAACGCGAGCCGCTTTTTGCTCTACACAGAGCGAATGCGGTATCCATCGGGAAAACAACTTTTTTACACCTAATTGTTCATGCAAGATTATTTGTATTTGATTCATGCCAATGTCTAAAGTAGCCTTAATTTCGCGGTATGTCACATGTCGATCTTCCTCAATCAGCTAACGCACAGAATCGACGTTTTCTTGGGTGACTGCAGTTTTTGGACGACCTTGACGGGGATCATCACTGAGCTTGACACGTCCACGTTGAAATTCAGCAAAACAGCGATAAATTGTGGTTTTGGATGGGGCTTCATCACCAAATGCAGAAATCATCCAGTCAGCACACTGTTTTTGTGTTAAACCAATTCGAAAATCATAATAAATCATCGCTCTTGAATTTTCTCGAGTCAATTCCATTTTCTCAACGGCTAAACAAGTTTGACAAAACCTTGTGACAAGATCGAAAATCTTTTTTTAAATAAATAAATGGTATTCAATTTTTAAAACCAAGGAGTTTTTAATTAAAATTATGACAGGAACAGTGGAAATAATCCATTCCCAATACTTTTAGTGAAGCCTAGTACTATATTTTAAGGCTGCCTCGTTGGTCTAGTGGTTGTATTAGTGCGACTGCTGATCACGAGGTCCTGGTTTCGAATCCCGGGTCAGGCCAAAAATCAATTATTGAGTTTTTCCGTTAAGAAATTCTCAGTAGCTGCCAGAGTCAGGAAGTTGGCGGTGTCTCACCCCCGTGTCTCGGAAAGCACGTTAAACCTCATTTCTGAGTCTATCACGCAGAGAAACTCCGAGCATAACGCCCTCTCCATAGCTCGCTGAGCGACCTTGAGCGTTCCTCATACGGCCAGCAGTGAAGGACCACGTCTCTGATCCGTAAGTCATCACTGGCAACACGCACTGGTTGTATACTTTAGTTTTCAGAGATTGAGGTAGGTACCTGACGAGAAGATGTGTCGTAATTTCCCGAACGCGGTGGTACATATTACACTGTTACAATAACCTAGTCCACTGTTTATTTTACCCACTAAGGGAGGTTTGTTTCACTAATCGTGTTGTCATTCAGATTTTTTTTGCAATTATTTATCGATCATTTTTTTATTTTATTTCAATTTATTTATCAATATTTCGATTTTACAAAAATCTTTTTTGGAAATTTTTGGAATAAAATATAGCCTATATCTCTCTTGTTTTCTGCCTGTTTTTAAAGTTTCATCACAGTTCACATTCTATCAAATTCCATCACATTCCAAAGACTAGTCCGGACACATGGACAGGCAGACAGACAAACAAAAATTTCAGGAAACGGTTATTCATGACTAAATTCGATATAAAAGACAGACATATTGTTTATGTTTGTGTAGACGTTAAAAACTATTTTAATACTTTTGATAAAATGAGTGATTATAAATTTCATACACGTAATTAATCTAAACTTGCTGTTACAAAGTACTGTCTCATATTCGGATAGATGTATAACTATTTTTCTACTTCTTTTATAGAAGCGGAAACGAGCATACGGCTCACCTGTTGGTAAGTGATAACCGCCCAGTGAGTATGCCTAAAATCTCGCTATCTTTTATAACAATATTCCATATAATATAAATTTATGGTACATATAAAAAGCATTGCCATGAAAAAAGGTTAATATAATTGGATGATTATTTAAAAGATATTAATGCTTGGATAAAACAGGCTTTTTGTAGATTTTCTTAACTTGTGTAAATGCCGCAGTTAACTAACTTAATTGGCCTTTCGGTTAACATCCTATAATGTTTACTAAACGGCCGTTGAACTAACGGCCTGAATGATATTCACCCCATGCGTCTGACATGCCACCTATGTTATTCTCTTTTATATATATATATATATATATATATATATATATATATATATATATATATATATATATATATATATATATATATACATTTCTCATATAGGATCAATTGAGGCAAATAATTCTCATGGTATCGTTGTCAAATTCAATTGAAATGCCAATGTAAATGTGTAAAAGTAAGAAAGTAAAGTGTCATTGCGGAGAAAGTTTAATATAAATAATATTGGCATATTAATTTTAAAATATAAAGAAAACAAACAGATTTGCTTGGTATTTTTATTTTATTTTACTTTATTAATCCATCGTCTCATCCTGCGGTTTTAATAGGAGGCAACTTAGGAAACACCTGCAAAAGCTTGTAGCCCTCGATAGACAGCGGTATATGCATTTTGTATACATCATAACGGAAAAAGAACGCAGACCGATGATGCACCCCAGCGTCTAGGGTGCAAGACACTTGGTATTGTTTATCTTTCAGTTTATTGTATATCATATTGTGTATTCCATTATATATCTTTCAGCGAGGTTATAATGTCAACATAACAGGGAAATATTTAATTAAGATATTCGGAGTATGTCTGAGGATAAAATTAAAAACTGATAAAATTTTGTTTATGTTTATTATTTTTGAAATTTAGTTGTATTTTTCGTTCGTTCGTTCGTCAGCATCAGTATATAGCCTTTTCTCTCTTCCTTGTATTACCAAGAACGCACGTTTGTGATGAACGGAGTTGACCAAGACACGGGCGATGAATAGGTGAATGGGGAAGCATAGTAGGCGGAGATCAATGGTGCTGAATAAGTCGATACAACAGGGGCGGCTCCATATAAAGCTGCAGAACGTTTGCGAATACGATGTCCTTCAGCTAAGGCCTTGGCCTCAAAATGTGCAGCTCGGGCAGCGGCTACTTCAGGTGTATCAAGAGGCACAGCTGGTGTTGCGATCGCTGATGTGGTGTAAGCTGGTGCAACAATAGCACCGCGCGCAATGTTGTCACTTCTGATGAATGTCTGAGAAGCAATGCCTGATCCGTATCCAGCATCAAAACGGGTATCGTATGAGGCATATGGTGCTCTGTATTCGCTGGTTCTGTATAAAACTGGCGCAGTTGATATGGCACTGACAATAGCGGGAGAAGATTTAATGTCAACACGGGACTCTTTTGAGATGGAAACAGGAGTTGCAACGGCGGCTGAAGCTGCTACCGCTCCATACGCAATGGGACCTGTTGCAACAGTTTTGACAATGGTAGGAGACGATTTATATTCAACACGAGATTGGTACGATGCAGGAGCTGCGACAGCAAAAGCAGCTGGGTAGGTAAAAGAAGCTCCGTAAGCTACTGGAGTTGCTTCAAAATTACGGATGATGGCGGGGGAGGATTTTACTTCAACACGTGATTGATAAGACGATGCTGCAGGAGTTGCAGTAATAGGTGCTGTTTTAATCGTGCTTACAACTGCAGGTGAAGTTTTCACATCGACACGTGACTGGTAAGAAGATGCTACTGGTGCTGAAATAGCTACACGGGAAGCCACATCAGCTTGAGCATTATATACCAAAGGAGTAGCTCCATAGCCTTCAATCGCAACAGGAGCGGACTTTACATCAACACGAGATTGATAAGAAGTTGCTGCAGGGGCAGAAAAAGCTGTCGGTGAAGCGAAAGACGCAGTATAGATTTGGGGGAGATGTCTCAAACCGGCTTATGACAGCAGGAGATGATTTAATGTCGTATCTGGTCTGGTATGATGAAGATGCCGCCGGAGTTGCAATAGCTGCAGGAGTCAATAAAGAACCACTATATGCGACGGGAGCAGCAGCAACAGTATTTACCAGAGCAGGTGCACTCTTAATATCTACACGAGATTGTTGTGAGAACGCAGCAGGGCCCGCGACGGCAGCTGTGACGGCAATTGGTGCACTGTAAGCCACTGGTGAGGTCTCTACGGTCTTGACTACGGCAGGCGATGATTTAATGTCGACTCTGGATTCTTGTGTATAGGCCGCGGCAGCGCCCACGGCTGCAGGAACTGGTCCGCTTACAAAAGTACGAGAAACTGGCGCAAAATCAGCTCTGGCCACAAAAGACGGTGATGTCTGGACATCAATGCGTGATTGTGAAATATAACCAGATGGAGATGGTACTGAGTATGTTAAGCTACCCTCGAGATGCGAGGGTTTACTGGCTGCTAATGCTAGCACTGAAAATAACACCACCAGCGAATTCATCGTGGTCTGTGTTAATATAGATGCGGACGACGAAACGAGTAAAACAAACTGATGCTTTAATCGCATCTACAGTAGCGTTTTTATACTACGCTCCATTCAATTGGAAGAAAAGTCAAGTTCAACAAGTTTTTGAAAAATAAACCCTTTTACTAAAGTTTGGTGAATACATATTTGTCGCCATCGAGGTTTAAGAATACAAATAAAAGAAAATCTTTAAATATGACTAGGAAATAAATATCTTTCTTAAATATAATATGTCATTCAAATTCTTAAATTATACAATCCGTAGACCAGTTTTATACTCGCGGTAAATATTGCGATCAGTTCAGCGAACAGTAATTAAGTATCATATATAAATCTTACCAGGTCGCTACTCCATCCAGTGGGGCCTGTAAAGATGATTATGATGATGATGATGATGATGAGGATTACAATATAGACATTTCCTATTCCGTGTAGAGGCGGTGTTAGAACTACCCCATATCATCCTGTGGGTGTCGAAAGAAGCGACAGAAGGAAATGCAGATTGGCAGCAGCGTTAATCTAATAACGTCAAAAAAAACATCGGTGCCAACCCCCCACCTTGCCAACCCTCTTGCCAAGCATGACAACTATGGAAAATATCGTCCTATGAGGCAATATATCGGGAGGCCTGTGTTCAGCAGTGGACTTTAATAGGCGGTAACGGTAACGGTGACAATAGACACCTAAACCTTTACATTTATTACACCTTTGTAAAAAAATTGGGGAAAAACACTTTTCTTACTTTCACTTTCAAATTAGTATTGCTTTTGAAGTTAACCTGTATTCAAGTTATACATAATCTGATAGCTTATTTAATAATGTTTCTATTGGTATATGATTTTAATATACCTTTAATATACCTTTCATACAAAATGTCTTGGAAATAGTCATATTAATGAAGAAGAAAGGAAGTAGTCTGGAAGTACTTCAGGAAGTGTTTGACAGATGCGCCATATTGGCCAAAATAACCGCGACATTCGAGGGGATAAGAGAGGTGTACCTAGTCGTATGTTCATCAGTGGACTTAAGATAGGCTAATTACGTACATACTACAACTAAATAATGATAAGCTTTTGTACAACTTGTTGATTAGAAGGAGTCGCGGGCAAAAGTTATACAAAAATAAACAAATAAATGTCCTTAACGTAAACAATTAACATTTAATTTATATCTAAAATTAAATAATAATTAAATATTCTTAAAACCTTATAGAATGAGTAATTATATTGTTGTAAGCCAGAAAATAATTATGAATATCAGAATGAGAAATTTAGTGAACTAAATAAAACGAAATTAAATTTAACTTTGTTAGTTCTTTTAATTACCGATATTTCGGGTGCTTGAGCACGGGAAACATGGCGATAACATCCGTAAAATTATTTAATTCAATGTGTAGTATTCGTGTAAATATAAAAAACCATTAACGGAATTACTTTTATATTTAACATTATATACTTGATCTATGTGATGACTTTTGTCCGGTTTGGTTTGATAAGGTAGTAGGTAATGGCTGGTTCAAGTATCTAATCACTACAGGAAAAACTTTGTTAACAATTCTTTGTCAATAATAATTATTAGTCACATTTGTTACTGATTTTGTTAATGATATGATATATTACTTTTAAGGCTGAATATCGTCAAACTGCAGAAGTAAAGCCTATAATCTACTTTGAATAATACAGAAATTGTTTTATTCAAAGTAGATTATAAATTATACTTATTGAAAGACACTATTTTATTTAATTTACCACAGGTTCCAAGAAAAAAAAAACATCTGCTTTGGAAAGAACGTAAGATTAAATTTTTTTGTAAAAAAAAATAATAACAGCTTACAATAATATTATGAGTTACTTTAATATTATAATAACCCTATTTATACAAATGTTATTCAACAAAGTTTCAATATTTTCTGGAATTTTGTTTTTAAAAGAATGAGTTACTGACTCGGTGCAGTGGAGTAACTACTACTACTAGTTTGCGTCTCTTCTTAGTATTTACAGAATGATTATCACTGATTTTTTACAACTAATTTTGTTTTTATGTACATAAAAAATAATTATATGTAATTTGGACTCTCAATACATTTTTATAAATGTATTGAGAGTCCAAAGTTAATATATTAATTTCCTTAAATTTTTGTCTGAGCTACACTTTAGGTTTTAAGTCATAGATTGATTTTATAACCCTTTTCTGTAAAACAAATATAATTTCAGTGTTAATCGCGTGGTCCCATTAGTGAGGCCACAAGTATTAACTACAATAGCAGATTTTTTTTATATAGTACTTAATTAAACGAAATGTTAAGGTTTACTCATAATGACCTTGAGTTTGCTTTCTCGCTTCGCTGCTGGACAAATGAGCGGAGCTTATTCAAAAACTACACAGAGCTGGTAAAACCGAAGGTTTCATTTATTTTTAATATTTCAAAACGTTTTAAGTTTTGTCAGTCATACTAGTTCCATTTGGGTCACATGATTAAATAAAATATCTTATTAAAAAGGGAATCTAAAACCTTTTATAAGTACCACTATTTTGTGTATTTATCTATACAAATAAATAAAATTGAAATGTCAGTTTGTAATGTCAAAATAACAGCTTTTTACTCAATGCATATGAAATTATATATGATACTTATAACAAAAATACAAGTTTTTAAATTTTTTGTATGTCTGTCTATATGTTCCGGCTAATCTCCAAAATGACTGGATGGATTTAGACGGGACTTACATTGGCAAATAGTTGATGTTATAAGGAGTAACTTAGGCTACTTTTATTTTAGAAAAAGAGTTATAGTTCCGTCTCAAAATATTAAAACCCATGAAATCTAATCGTAATAAATTAGAGATTAACTTCTGGGAAACAGATAGCGAAACAATATAAGTCTAGAATAATTCAACGAGGTCGGAATTAGTCTCCTTGGTTAATGTATTAAATATCTATTTCTATTTTGGTTTATAATAATTATTTCTCCATAACTGCAGTAACATCGTGCAATACTAGTGAGAAACGTACTTCAGTGGGACCCCGTAACGTTATTAATAAAAAAAGGCTTATAATCTATACTGATAGAACTATACTCGATTTGCTGGCGACAAATTTAGAAGTGAAGAAAAACTTTGAAATATTGAATTGTAAATTAAATGAAACTATATAATAATTATAAATATACATACATGGTTCAAAAATTCCACTCAAGCATATCAGTGCTAATTTTTATTGGTGGGATAGGTTTTTATTTATTTATGATATGGACTCTTAGCTAATTAATGACTTTTTATAAAGTAAATTATATAGTTGTTATTGTTAGTAATATAATTAAGGAATACTATTTTTCAAAAATAGTGTGTGTTATTATACAAATATAATTTTATATTATCCGCTAGTCTCGCTAATACTCGAAAACGGTTAGAAAATTTTTGATGAAATTTTTGTGTACGTTTGAGTGGGTCTCTGGATGGTTGGCGTAGGTGGCGTGTTGTCGAGATCCAGAAATGACCCGTGAGAAGCCAGGGCATCGTTAGTTTTTTTTTATAAGCAACTTATGAATTCATAGTTCAATCGTACTCATACAATGCTTGTCGCTCCTTAATAACTACTCTCTGTATATATGTAACAGCGACATTATTAAGTGGCAAGAGGTATGCGGAATAAGTCTGTCCTATAATGGAGTCTGCCTCATACGAGTACCCGTTTGTTTGCCGCTCAATTTATTGTATCGACTTTAAATAATAAAGAAAGAGATCGTGCTTAATTCCGCGATGAATTGTCAAGGATGTTTATTAATACATTATGAATATATCACCTACTGTAATCAACTAAAGTACATGCTACTTTTGAAATTCTTTTTTTCATAGTATACTTAATGCGATTGTTTTAAAACCATTTTTATGACTTTTTACTACTAAAGTTAACAATTTAACTGTCCGAGATAGGTAGCCTAAAGCTTTAAATGTTAATGAATTGTTCTGCTAATTGAATTAAGAAAAAAAATTATCAGTGCAAGATGATTGCAATAGATCTTACGCAGTAATTAAGTAATTATTTAATTACTGCGACTGTAAGATATACAGGTCTTCCTAGATCTGCATATCTGCTTGCACAAAATAAAAAATAAAATAAAATCGTTGCAAGATTGTATATAAATAAAGCAATTATCACAGCGAATTTACTATTAGTAAAATTGTTATTAAAAACATTTGCAAATTAGGTTAGTTTATGGCTGATTCACTCATGGGTGAAGAGAAGAGGTGATAGAGGAAAACTGAAACAGGAGATAGCAGCAGCATCTTCCTGAAAATAATTCAAGATAATTAAAAAAAACTGCAGTCGTCAACCCGCCAGCTTAGCGTGGCAACTATAAAAAAATCGCCCCCAGGCAATCTATGGAGGAGGCGTATAAAATTATTTTAGGATTGAGCATATTTAATCAACATAGGTAAGGAATTCTAAAGCTTTCCTAATTTTTCATTGGTAATAGTTTGCAAATTAAATTTTCGTTGTGACACAAAGGTATATATAATACATTATACAATAATTATACATTTTTCCTAATAAAAACTGAAAAACTGAAAGAATGAGGCAAATTATGGATGAGACCTATGTTCAGCAGTGGAATTTTATAGGCTGTAACAAATTAATGATAGAATGAATTGTGGACATTTACTATAATAATTTTATTAGTGAAACATAACATTTTTTTACGTATACGTTACTCATTTATGACATTGTATAGTGTAAGCCGCTTAGCGTTTATATAAAACAGTTTAATTTTTCATAGAATAATGGTGACGCCGTTCGCACACAGTCCACTTGATAGTAAGTGGAGGATGAGGCCCATAGGCATCTACATTTATCCTCGATTAAGAATTAAAACGCAGATGCGTTGCCACCTCTGAGGACTAAGCTCGACCGACCATCAGTGCGTACCATCCGTTCTGACGATACGCATAACCGATCTCCAGTTTGTAGCGTTCACAGCTGAGCAACGAAACTGGCCAGACTGGTACAGTCACAAACACGTACACGAATAAGATTGAATGCCTCGTTTCCAGTAAAAAAGGGTCTCCGGATCTCTACTCGCCATAAGAAATACAGCAGTATTAAGCTGCTATTTTACGCTGATATTCTGTGTCCGTGGTCCTTCCTCGGTAGAACCGACTCATTCGTGCTGCAACCACAATATAGTTACAGCGTGGCTCTACCACGTATAATAAATAAAATTAGATAAGTAATAAGAGCACAGAAGTGTTAACTAATTTGATTTTACCATGTTTCTATTATGTTAATTTCCTTTTTGTCTGTCCGTCGTTGCGGGTGGAATTTAGTAATTGATTTTAAATTAACTTCCCGAAGAGCTGGAAACTTGAAATTTTGAATATATCTCAAATTCGGATGACAATGCAGGAATATGATAAAAAACGTGATATAATAAAAAAAATTATACAATCGTTAATGCTAATAAAAAAACTATAAAAATGACATATACCATATCAACGTTGAGTCATGACCGTCACGAGGATTATTGTTGAGATAATATGATCGTCGACTCTACTCTATTTCCATTTGTTTTTATTCGATTCGACTATTTCCGCATTAACTGTATACTCTCTTATTTTTTTTTTTTTTAAAATTTTTTTTTTTTTTTTTATTAATTAAAAAAAAAAAAAAAACCCTAATTTCTGTAATCAAACTGTATAGATATATTAACTATACAATTTGCATATAGATTTATGGTTTCAACCGACTATAAAAAAGGAGGAGGTTTTCAATTCCACTCTTTTACCGTCTTCAAAAAGGAGGAGGTATTTAATTGAACTGTATGTATTTTATGTGTTACCTCATAACTTTTCTCTGGTGAACCGATTTTGATGATTCTTTTTTATCTGAAAGCTGGTGCTTATTGCGTATATAAATTTAATCAATAGTTTACCACTAGGTTTTGGGTTATCTTTAATAATGCGTATTTAATTAACTTCAAATACCTTGATTCGGACGTATTGAAGTCGGTTGTACATTTTATTTTATTTTACCACTTGTTTAATTTGAAAGGTACTTTTCATGTGTTCCCTTTGCCAGTAGCTTTTGAGTTATCCTTAATAATGCGTATTTAATTGACTTCGACTACATTGATGATGTTCTAATATTTAAATTACTAATATTAATAAAGATTTTGACTTACTTTACGAACTTAAATTTTTTTCTGGTTTTGCAGGCACAACTTATCCGTCATAATAATCGTAAAGTAAATTTTATTACTAGTTTACATTGAATTAAAATGTAAATTTATTTTGGAGTTAGAAAAAATTATTTGTTAATGGCGTTCATGTTTATGACAATAAAATATATTGTTTTATTTTCAATTTATATATTATATGAAACATTTACATACTGGTACATCGTTATCGGTTTTCATTTATTTATTCTACATCAGTTCCAATTTCTGAATGGAAGTTCTATTGCCAAACTCAATATATATACATAAAAATATATATATATATATATATATATATATATATATATATATATATATATATATATATATCCTTTTAGAAAGTTTTTGTAAAGTGTTTTCGTGTTTGTGAGTGTGTTACAGCTTAGTTTCCAATGTTCAATAACAATCAGAATGAAAGTCATATTCAATTTTGTCACATAGTTGTTTCTAAAGTGACCTGAGTAATGTTATAAGTATGCTACACACTGGCAAATTGGTAATTGCAATTTGAAATGCCGATGCACCTGCTCATATATTTATTATATAATATTAATAATAATAATGTCCTCCAGACCGAATTTCGGCATCGGCGGCCTGCCTCAACGGGCCTGCCATCGGCGCAGGAGAGGATTATAGTGCCCAAGTGTATGCGCAAGCATAGGTGCACTCTCTATTCTCTCACTCTTGTAATCCGATGGGACGGTAAACCGACACGACCGGGAGAGAGATCAGGCGCAGGAACAACGGCTTTACGTGCTTTCCGAGACACGGGGGTGAGACACCGCCAACTTCCTGACTCCGGGCAGCTAGTAAGAATTACTTGACAGAAAAACTCAATAATTGATTTTTTGGCCCGACCCGGGATTCGAACCCAGGACCTCATGTTCAGCAGTCGCACTACTATAACCACTAGACCAACGAGGCAGTCAATATATATATATATATATATATATATATATATATATATTTATATATATATATATACATATATATGTATATATATTAAAGTAACGACTGTTTATTTTTTTGCTGGTTAAATTCATTATTCCTGGTATTTGTTATTGAAAGCATCATTTAATTCCATCCTATGTCGCAAGTGGCAGCTTTTGAAAACGCTTGAAAGATCTCTCCTTCCTGACATATGAAAATTTCCAGATTGGCGACAGGGAGCAACTACAACTCTAAATAACGTGCTAGTTGACGCAAATAATTCCTATAATACTTTCCATACAAAAATAATAAAGAAGAACTTCTTAAAAGAAGAATGTGTTTAACGTTTAAATTTTATCAAAAGTAAATGCTATTGATCTCAAAAATATTATTATTACATATTAGCATATTTTTAGATTGTAATATTTTATAAATACACCAAAAACAAAAAGATAATAAAAAACACATAATGACTTATTATTTTTTATTTCGATACCAAACTTGTGTATTTTCCAACTCAGATGCGAGCATTATAACATTAAATTAAATTTAGAAGCAGATTTTGGCTATGGCGTGATCGGTTCAAATGGAGAGACCGAGTAAAATAAATGGTGCTGAATGTTTACCACCCGTGGGCAAGGGCTGGTGCCGCGATGATTGGAGCGTGAGCAGCGACGATAGGCGCTGGCGCAGCAACAACAGCTGGAGAAGCGATCTGGAACAGTATAGTTGATAATCTATTACGTTGACTAACGAGCATACAGTCAACTTGATGATAAGTAAATACTGTGGCCTATAGACATACATATTTACCCTCGATTAAGATTCAAAATGCAGAACCAATCAACCCTGAGGACAAAGATGAAACCTCGTACAAAAAGTGTCTTCGGATCTCTACTCTCACAATAAGAAACACAGTAGCATTAATCTGATATTTCACGCATTCTGCAAGAACGTGGTCCCTCCATGGTCCAGCCGACCCATTTTAGCTACAACCATAGCTGCAGCGTGAAACCACATCAATTCACGTCCTTGTACAAGTCTCATGTGCCATTTATTTGTTAAAAAAGTTACAGCATTCATATGTGTCACAGATGGTTACAAGTCTACTGTAATTTACCGTTACAGGCTATGAAAGTCTTCAGGGAATATTTGCCATAGTTGCCACGCTTGGCAAGAGGGTTGGCAATCAAAAAGGATTGGTTTTTATGTTTAGTCATTATTAGAAAGACGCTGCTGCTCATATCCTGATGTGTTTCTCTCTGGCACCTGACGACACCCACGGGATGACATGGGGTCGTGGATGTTTTTACACCGCCTTTACGTGGTCAACCGGGTTTTATGTGTAAATTAAAAACGAGCGCCTAGTTACTGAGTTGTAATCCCTACACATTTTACTCATCATTTTTTCAATAATAATACTTTGTTTTTACGTTGGAATGTTATACAGGGATCGTATAAAATTGTATTGGTAAAATAGTTAAATTTCAAACTACAAGCCAGTGATTGACTACTATAACAACTTGGTGGTAGGTGGTGAAGTAGTCGAAGATGGTAAACGATACGGATTTAGCTTAATACGCCCATTAATTCTTGTTTTATTTGCGATTTGTTTCAAATGAAAAGATATGCTTTGCTCAATGCTGCTGTATTTCGTATCGTTAGTATAGAGAATTTGAGACCCTTTTTAATGGAAATTAGGCAACCCATCTTAGACCTCAGAGGTGGCAACGCATCTGAATTTTGATTCTTAATGAAGAATAAATGTAAATTTCTATGGGCAACAGCATCCACTTAGCATCAGGGGGACTGTGTGCTCGTTGTTCATCCTATTCTGTAAAAATTATACAAAATAACTTTTTTTTTGAAAAATTTGTGTTTACATCTATGTCACTATCGTTTTTCTTTTATATTTTCAGCTGCTTACCCTGACGGTGTTAGCATAAGAGGAAGCAACAGGAACAGCTGTTTTGACTATTCCGGTGCTAACTAAGGGTGCTCCTACGATACCGTGGCCCCAGGGAGCAGGCCAGGGAGCTGCAGCAATGGGAGCACCATAAAGGCCAGGGGCAGCAGCGGCTACGGCCAGGAAGGCGGCGAATACAACCTGTCCAAAAATACAAGTAAGTAAGTAAAAGCAAAGCGAGTTTTAATGTTTTTTTTTTTTGAAAATGCAAGAAGAAATTACTGTTTATGCATTCGTTGTTCTCAAGAAAATAGATAAAAAACTTTGGCAAATAATTTTGCATTAATAGTGTCCTCCTAGAAAAAAAAAACTGTATAAAAACAAAAGGCGATGTTATTATTACATAGCAATCTCTTCCAGACAGCCCAGAAGAAGAAATCAATAAAAATAAGAAAAAGATCAAAGGGCAGGGTGCACTAAACTAGAACAAAAAACTAACTCAAGTACTAAAATGACAGCATACTTTAGGTAGATCAATGACCATAATTAAAAGGAGGAAGAGAGAGGAGTTATAGAGTCAAATAGTGTTCCTTAATCTGTTTCTTGAACACATTTAACGATTCAGTACTTTTGATTGAGTGGGGCAAGGAGTTCCAGAGTCTTACTCCAAGAACAGCAAAAGATTTATCATAAAATGTTGAGGAGTGCACAGGACATTTAAAGGAAAGATTTTCTTTGAAGTGTAAGAAAAAATCATGAAAAGAACTAAACAATTTAAAACGTTCTTTTAGATAGGGAGGACTTGATATATTAAATAAGACACACTACGGCTGTACATGTTTGCCGAGGCACGTGAAACACCTTCAACTTCCCCACTCCGGTTACTACTGAGAATTTCTTACAGAAAAACCCAATAACTGATTTTGACCCCACCTGGAATTAGAACCCAATTTAATGTTGAAGATGAAATATTTTGTTAAGCCTATTTTAATGTATTTAACGCAATTACCGGATTTCATAACGACTTATTAAAATTTTAAATATATTTTTATATTTCGGGAAACTATTTGAATACATCAATATGCATAACTTACGTAAATCCTAACCGTTACAGTCTTTTAAAGCCTCCTACTGACCACAGGTGTCCCCCATAAATTGCCTCATAGGGGGGATATTTGTCATAGTTGACGCGCTTGCCAAGCGAGTTGCCAATCGCTGCTTTTTATTTTTAGTCGTTATTAGAAACACGCTGCTGCTCAACTACTGATTGTTTCCTCTATTGCCTCTTACGACATCCGCGGTATCATATGGGGTAGTTGCTCCGAAGCTTCGCTTGTGTCGCCGAGTTCAACTCTGCCCCGATCGCATCTTGCAGCGCCTATTTATATAATTAGCAAAGAAGCGTCCCGAACATTCAAGTAAATGCGAGCCAGGCAACGAGTATTCGAGTGTAGATTTTCCAGAAACTTAGTTCTTCGGGTGGCGCTGTCGGTCGAGTGATTTGTGATGTCATTTTCTCAATGCTCCCCTCGCTCTCGTTCCTGACACTAGATGGCGCTAGTGTATCGTCGACTTGAGCGCGTAACAATATTCTTACTCTGCCACTAAACGGTAAATACTTACATTGCATTTATTGGTTGTGCACGAGTACTTATGCGAGTAACTAGTAAATTGTAGTAAACGATACATAAAAAGAAAAAGAATATTATATCACATTGGAATTTTACATCATAACAGAGAGACTTTAAACTATAGGTTAAAAGTTAAGTACACTAAATCGTTTCCCTTAAATGAACAGTGATAAAATAAATAAAAATATACAAGGGTTATAAAACACCTTCATAAAGCCTACTCGAATAAGTGCTAAGGCATTTAAGTTTTATTTTACAGCAATAAGAGGTTGTTTAACGAGTAGATAAGTTGCGACCATTTGCTGCCTGTACTATGCCGAGTGAGAGAAGTGTTTCCTCGCGTGGGACTTAGTCGGTTTAGATATACAATTATAGGTATATTATATATTGAATCCATTCTTACCGGTTAAGATTTTAGGTCAAGCAAATAGAAATCTTGTAACTAATAATAATGAAAAATTAACAGGACTGGATTAGAACGGATTATGATCATGACATTATTAGGTACATATATCTGAGCAGCGAATGGTATTTAATATATACATAAATATAAAGCATCAAACAAGAAATTAAACAATAAAGTTTTTTTTATTGGATGTGGAAGACAAAAGAGCACGCAGTTCACTTGATAGTAAGTGGTTGCTGCGGCCCATAGACATCTACATCTATCCTCGATTACGAATCGAAATGCAGATGTGTTGTCGCCCGTGAGGACGAAGATAGAATGCCCAGTTTCCAGTAAAAAGGGTCTCCGGTTTTTTACACTCACCATACGAAACACAGCAGCGTTGGGCTGCTATTTTACGCTGGTATTGTGTGAGAGCGTGTTTTTTGACCCATTCGTGCTACAACTATACTACTTATATGGCAGCAGCATGGCTCCACCAAGTAAATTATAAATTGAGAAATTTAATTGAAAAACGATGATCTCGGCAGCGCAGTTGCTAAAATTTTGGGTGTGGAGCTACAGTGTCGCGGGTTTAAATCAAGCATGAGATAACTGTTTATATACTTATTATACTGTAAAAACAAGTCTAAAAAATTTAACGTTTAATTAAAGTAGAAACTGATTTCTAGGACCAACATAGAATAAAATAAATTCTTACCAATAACTTCTGAAATTGGGTTGATTTTTCTGTACATAATGGTTTCATCTACCTTTTATTAAAACTTTAATTTTTCGGCTCTTTTCAGTTGTTCAAGGGATATTAGTTACGTTGACGTAAGTAGCAATTAGAATGTTGTCCGAATAAATAGTATTATATCAGGTACATTATCTTATCCAAATTCCTTATATGAGACTATCTCTGAATATAACCTAGTTATTAAAAAATCAATAAAATAGACGATATCAGAAATAAATACAAAGAAAGAATAAATCAATTTCGATTTTTGTATTCATCAGCCCTTTAAAGTCCGCGGACGGACGGAGTCTAGTGGACTTTTTTTATAGGAGAGGGGCAAACGAGCATACGGCTCACCTGATGGTAAGTGATTACCGCCGCCCATGAACAACTGCAACACCAGGGGAATACCAGATACGTTGCCGGCCTTTTAAAGAGGAGTAGGAGCTTTTCTTGAAGGTCCCTAAGTCGTATTGGTCCGAAAAAATCTCTGGTGGTAGTCGATTCCACCAGGAAAATTTTTCGGTAATCTCTTAATTAGTTTCAATCCGAAATCACCCCGGACTATTTGCAGAGTAAATAAAAAAAAACACTGCATCACTACATATCGGGTTCAGTGTTTTCTATTTTCTTTCATAACATTTTGGTCCATAAATTTAGAATTCGTTGATAATTTGGCTAGAACCCAGACAGTAAAATTCAAAAGATAATGTTTTTGTGATATTTTCCTCTACTTTTATAACAAGGTTTTATAAAATAGTGCAGCCTACACGCTCCCCGTTGCTTGCTACAGGTGCCTTTTTTCTCATTTCTATAAGGGGTTTTTGTGAGGAGCAATAACCCGCCACACAAAGCGTCATATCTTAAGAATATAAGCTCTATTACAGAAAATATACTTTAAGACTCGCAACGGTCCAAATATTATGAAAGAAAATCATAAAAAGATGTTTAGGTCATTGTCATCACATTTTTTGTGTCATATTATGTAATCGGAGGTATTATTATATGGTAACAATTTTTAAACAACAAACAGCTTGTCACATAAATTCCAAAAACCAACCTCCTACCGAAGCAGAGATGCAAGTAAATCGATTTACACCTTTGCAGCTCTTTCAATAGAAGTAGTCTATTATTTAATACGAAAATTATAGGAGAGCAATTAATTTATATTTTTATACATAAATTAAAAAAAAATATTTTGTAATAGAATAGAATTATCCATTTTCAACAGACTTCGAAAAAAGGAGGTTATCAACTCGACTGTATTTTTTATGTGTCCTCAGAACATTTTTCTAGGTGAACCAATTTTGATGATTTTTATTTGAAAGCTGGTGCCTCTCATATGGTACAATGTAAAATTGATCATGATCTGACTAGCAGTTTTTGTGTTATCCTTAATAATTCGTATTTAATTGACTTCGGCTACATTGATGATGTTGTCATTGTATTTATATTGAGAAGTCGGTTGTATAAAATTTTTAATTTACCACTTGTTTGATTCAAACTACAAATATACGTAAAGTACATATCTCTATCTTAACCTTTTAAACAATCCGTATATAATCAGTAATCGGCCTATAAAAGTTAAATGCTGAAAATAGGCCTTGTCTATAGATTGTCATATAGGATTTCGATTTTCCAAAAGTTGCTACGGCGGGTTAGCCACCGAAGATTTTATTATTTTGAAATGTTATCAGAACGATGCTGTAATCAATTTTATGTTTCAGTTTCCCTTGGTCACCTCTTACGACATCCGAGAAAGAATATGGGGTAGTGCTTACTATTGCACATGGTTTAATATATTAATATTAAATAGTTTTTATTAGTATATTAAGCAACAAGAAAGTAAAAAAGTACCACTGTAGAATTAATCCTAAACCATACTATAAGGGGTATGCGATGAACTATTTGATCTGTAAACAAGGTTCTCACACAAACTCTTCCATAACCACATAACGCACTAACAATTATAAAAAGACTTGCGATTTATTGATTATATTACCAATAATTAATTGTAAAGTTTATTGTAATGTTACAGCCTGTATGCGACTAATTGCTGGGCATTGCCCTTTTCTAATTTTTGAGAAGGCTATGGAGAATTTAGTCCGCCAAGCTGCTCCAGTGCGTGTTGGTGGACTTCACGTCTCATCGATTACAACTATTTTTAAGACATGCAAGATTCCTCACGAAGCTATTTTAAAACACTGAACACGTGGTTAATTAGCACTTAAGAGTGTAACAATCTCATTGGTGACGGCAGGGATCGAGCTCGGGTTGCCCACATACTGCGTACTAAGCGATCGCTTAGCTTGAAATAATTTAAGATTGAAATTTTATTTTTTTAAATTAAATCTACTGAATTAATAATGTTTTCTTAACGGAATTTCGGTCACGGCGCTCAGTCTCAAGGAAGCTAGTTATTCTATGCAGGACTTAATAGTTGTACTTGAATGTGTGTGCAAGTGCAGGCCCACTCCCTATTTTCACACTATAATATTCAGATGAGACGATAATCCGAAGTACCTGGAGAAAGATCAGACGCAGGAACAGCGCTTTTATGTGCTTTCCGAGAGACAGAAGTGAAACACCGCCAACTTCCTGACTCCATGTTGTTACTAAGAACTTTTTCACACGAATAACCCAATAACTAAGCAATAACTAACAAAACCAGCACATCATTAGTAATCTCGCTCAAGATGAAAAAATCTAATGAATAATAATAATATCAACAAGTAAATAATATCGATCATAACAATAATCACACAATTCAATAGAAGCTATGGTTTAAATTTTTCTATGAAGGAATTTTAAGCGTTATTTTGTGATCAACAAATATAAATGATCCCTAATAATATAAATAAGTTTTGGGAGTCACAAAGTTAGATGTAGGTATGATTACAGCCACCATTTACACAAAGAAATGCAAGACATATAACAGAATATATATATATATATATAATACACATAATAATATATATAATATAAGACATATAAAAAAAATCTAAACATTATGTTGTATTGAAATAAAAAAAACTGAAGTAAATACTAATTTTATTTTAAATTATAAAATTGTAATACAAAAAAAATATTTTTCTTACCAGTTTGTACATTTTTGAGGGTGGGTGAGGGTTGGCTATTATGAAAGCAAAGGGAGATATGGTTACGAATGTGCTGTGGAACTGTAAAGTTGAGCTTTTATAGCCATTAGCCACACAGCCCGACCAAATCTGTCCTAACCCTACCACCACCCAACCTGGTCTGGGCCTAGGTCATCTATTACAGTGATTACGTAAGTAGCGGTATCAAAACAAATGTATTAACTTAAAGGGATCTATGTAAATATTTTTAATATACCTTTTACTGAGTATTTCTTTATTTTGTTAGATTTTTGTAGCAATATTATATAATAATAACGTTAATATTGCTTACAACTATAAACATATTCGATGATTTCTTTTAGCTAACAAATATAACAACGGAAATAAACTTGTTTGTGCAAATATTTAACGTATTTTGTTGGATCGTTTTAAGAGTGGTCCTTATTTTTTTTTCGAATAGTAGAAAAGTTATTAACCTTTGTATATTGATTTATTTTATTTAAGGTGTTTTACACGGTAGAGCTACGCTACAGCTTTATGATTGTAGCGCGAATTGGTTGGAGAGACCAGGTTAGAACCACGTTTCCACAGAATACTATCAACACAGCGAATAAAATAGTAAAATTCGAAAATACTTAACTAGTAATGAGACACTTAGTCCACCGGGGTTGGGGTGGGGGAAACCTATCTGCATTTTGATTCTATAGGCCACAGCATCCACTTATATGATTATAAGTGGTCAACCTGATGATGAACTGCGTGCTCGTGTGTCACCCTTATTCTATTAAAAAAAATCAAAGTCTAGGAATTTAAAAGTAATTGTATTGCCATTTACGTGTTTTGGCGGTGTAAGAATATCTAATACCCCATATTGTCCCGTGTAAAAGAAAACAATCCAGGAGATGGAGAGCAGCGTCTACCTAATAACTACTAGAAAAATACTACGGTTGCAACATGCCTGCCAAGCTTGGTAACTATGGAAAATAGGAGGCGATACTCGTATATAGGTAAGGCCTAAATACTATGATATACTATATGTATTATAACTTGGTCTAGAATTATTTGAAAAGTAGTTGTACTGCTTTCAAAACCTTCGCATTCTGTGAGTACTGTAGGTTGCAACATGAATGTTTGGTGTTTATCGTATAAATGACATCTATTGTAATTCTTTGTATTCATTGCGTCATTTTCGTGTTTATAATTAGTGAGTAGAACAGCTGTGCTGATTTGTAGTGAAACCTTCCTTAAAACTCTTTTTTACATGGACACAATTTACTATATTAACAATTTGTTGTGTAGTTAGCCAATTTTAACAAAGGAGAAGGCTCACAATTCGGCAGTATATTTTTTTATACTTATGTTACACGATCCTCGGCATTGAATATTACATTATAACATTGAAAATTAACATTTAACAAAAAGTATAAGCCGATTTCAAAGAAGTATAAATAATAAAATAATTTGACATTCCGAATTCAGTACTAAGATACAATGTAGAGAAGAATTGTAGCCCAGACTTCAGAATGTTAAATTATTATTGTTAAAAGTTAATTTTTAATGTAAAAAATTAAGAATAATAATTTTAAGTTATTTAATTTATCATTCGAGTTCATGCCAAGTAACACAAACCAACACAACTGATTATTTAGTTCGTGTCGCAGTTGCACTTTGCGCAGAGGCGAATTTGTAGTTTGAAATTAATGTTGTGAAAATTGAGCGTGAATAAATTTTATTTTGAGAAACTTATTACTTGATACATTTTAATTGAGTGGAAGATTTTTTTTGTTTCAACACGCTAGAAGTATAGTTTCGATATTCGACGACTTTAATCAAGGAGGTACTCTTGTACTGGCTGGTACTGACTCTAGTATTCAAATTCCTTAACGTATAATTTATAATAAAATTTAATTGGAATCCCGCAAAAATGTGAAAATAACAAGGTGGTAAAATGTAATTAAAGAAATCTGAGCAAGTTGAGACATCACCACCAACCCATCTTCATCATCACCAACATAACCTTTCATCTGCTGGAAACGGACAAGTAATAAAATGTCATAGAAAACAACCAAAAATTACAATAGGAGAATTATAAAACTATTTGCAATCTTAAAAACCAGACTAGGATAAGCTTTTAGGTAGAGTTAATTTTCTGTGATAGAGTCCATCCGGGTTTGCCTCCCTCTCGCCTATTTGTGACGTCAAGCTAAATTCTTGTATTCTGGGTTGAAGGATAAGAGCGCAAGTATGAATAATTATAGGATTTGAGGTATTTTACCTTTCATGTATGAAGTTGACTGCAATAGTCCATGGATAGCAGTATTATTTAATTTGTCATTGTAATATTTTTAAAGGAATGATCGTGTAACGATCTTTCTATAAAATGTTTATTAGATTCTAAATTTTGGCTACATTCTTAAACAATTTGGGTATAAATAATATATAATAAACAAGCACCTTTTATTTTCGCAATATCTAAATTTAAAATTTTTGGTTTGAAATAAATACGTTTATGAATTTGATTTGCTATCAGTACATTGGATAATTCTCTGTTAGGTTGATCTCATTTTTAATTCGGTCCATACATTATTTTTATTATACTGGGGTTTCAACCTCTTGATACTTTTATTGTTTAAATTCTAAACATTTTATTTGTCGTTGACTGTAAGAACGTTATTAACAGTGCGGTCAGTTACTGAGTCCCGAGTCACAAGTCTTGCGTTCAAATCTTACCCGGAACCTATAGAAAGAGCTCAACGAATGATTTTAAAAGTTGCACTTTATAAACCAAAATTTTTCTCAACAACCAGTTTATTCAGGGAAGCTAACGTGCTTACAGTACGAAAATTATATATATGTCTTCAATTAAAAAAAACACACACTTGCACTGTGTATAAACCCAATTTATTACAAACTAGGAGAAGAAATTATGAGGTATGCAAAACGATACACTACTTTCGTCTAAAAGTTTTATGGGTACAAAATAGGCAGGTTATATAATAAAGTTAATAGAAAACACTCAATTTTTCAACTAACAAAATATTATAAATGTAAGAAAAAATTAACAGATTGGCTTATGAAATTGGATTAAGAAGAAACAGAGAATTTACTGTAAAAAGCGGAATAGTGAGATAGAAACACACAATATATTTATATATTTATATATATATATATATATATATATATATATATATATATATATATATATATATATATATATGTATAATACATTATTAAAAGTAATCCGGGCCAGGAGAATTGACAATTTCTCTTTGTAGGATAGGAATAAATTAAGAGTTTTCTAAAACTATTTACGTACGTTATTAAATCAGACCAAAAATTAAAAAAATTAATATTCAAAAACTGAAGGTAGCTACACTATGACATTATAGTTATAGTTATGTTATATATATATATATAACATAACTATAACTATGACATATATTAAACGCGATAAAATCCGTAAACAATAGTTTTATTCAATGTGTAGTGTTCGCGTAAATTTAAGAAATCACTAAGTGTTTTATATTAAATGATCACTTAGAATGGGAGTCACAATATGTACGAACTTGGTGAAAAATTTTGCATCTCAATTGCTTTTCATAATCTCTTAAGATGACACATTAACGACAAATTACATGCTTATTAAACACAACATTTTTAAATATAATAATAAACGCGATATGCCTCAGTAGCTTTTAAGTTTAAGTAATTTCTAGTTTGTTAAGTAAAGTGAGAAACTTTTTCGTGTTGTTTACGTTAAAATTTAATTGATTTCTAGTTTGTTAAGTAAAGTGAAACTTTTTGATTTTGTTTTCAAGGATTCTCTCAAACCAATAGGTTTCTTTCATGAAGTTGCTTATTTCTTTTAATAATAATTTTATTTGAATATTTTAAAAATGATAAGATTAGTTTGTGCAAATACAAAATATTATATTACAATAAAATAATTAAAAAAATAAACGTGTTTTAAAATATAAAATTAAAAAATATATCAAATCGCTTTAATCTATCTAAGCCTTCTCTACGCTGTGTATAGCTGCGTTCAAATTTATTAATCGTAACGTAAAAATTGTAAGCGTGTTGTATTCGACTCACGTAACGAATTCTACAAGCCAAAGAGTAATTTATTGTAGAGAGTTTAGCTGTCACCATTTTTTCAAAGTTGAGTACTACTTGAGAATCATTTATTCATTGATACTGTTATTATTTCAACATTCTTTGACACCGTTATAACCGTGTGGTGGGAGTGAAACGGGAGTAGGGCAGCAACAACTACCTAATTACAACATGCAACACGCGGGAGTTTTGGCAAATATATCTTCCTCCCACCTTTTAGGCAAACACAGTTTGCCTAAAAGCCTATATTTGTAAGCGTCAACGTCCACTGATAGGCTGTTATGATGGTGATAATGGTGATAATAAAATACCATCGATAATGTTGTTTCAATTTCCTCAATAATATTAATAATTCAGAGATCTTTTTAAGTGATGAAATCTTACAAGTAAAACTTTGTAACGACTTTGAAAATACATTCATCTAGGGTGGATTTTTCAGATAACAGATGGCATTTTGGAAATAATGTGATAAGTTAATCTAAAGCATAAAAATATGAGCGACGAAAACCCGATTGGAGATCAGTGTTCTTAGCACAAGCTTTTGACATTTTGTGTCCTCAGAGGTGATAATGCATCAGTAACCATCTTTTTTTGATGTCACTAGCATACGTCCATGGGCTGCAGTCACTTCAATTTAAAAAAAGGAGACATACTCAGAAGACTGATCACTCACCACTTACGAGATATAACACGTAGCTTACACAAAACTAGAGTTTTACATACATAAAATAAAAGATTGCTGGACAACATATTAAATGTACTTATTTTACTCTGATTCTGCAATTTAATCACATAGTATTTATCCGCATTAACTTATCATTAAGTATGGGAATGTAAACAAGTGATAGTTTAGAGACCGCACTAATATTTTGTGTGCATTCTACTACTTCTGGTTAAATTTGTAAAAAGAAGGCAACGAAAGATTAGTAAGCTGAAGTAGCAATGGGCCGGCCATATAGCTCGAAGAACCGATAACCGATGGGGAAGAAAGGTTCTCGAGTGGCAGCCTCGTACCGGTAGGCGTAGTGTAGGGCGACCCCCCACTAGATGGAGTGACGACCTGGTAAGACATGCAGGAAGTCGATGGATGCAGGTGGCTCAGAACCGTGCTTTGTGGCATGCCTTGGGGGAGGCCTATGTTCAGCAGTGGATTTGCAAAGGGCTGTAATGATGATGATGATGATGAACTAAATGTTGTTAATTGTGATTTTCCCCGTGTTTCTGATATTATATCCTTGTTCACCATTAATCTTATCGATTTAAGTGTCACATCAGTCGCGTTTAGAATGAATGAATGCTTCTATGTTAGAGTGCACATTTAAACTGTAAATAGTGTAAATGTATGTTTACAATACCAGTCGTTTTTTGATAGGAGAACATCAATACCATCATCATTTTAATTTACTTTTAATGATATTAGTCTTTCACTGATATCAATTATTTTAATAAAAATTATAACTGGTCTATTTATTTTTTCTCTATGATTTATGAACAGACATTCGCCGAAGCAGGGCATGGCAATTGCAATGACACTATTCTGCGGTCAGTTGATTCGTTATCGTTCATGAACGATTAGCTATAAACAATTAATTAAAGTTTTACACGGATTAATAGGCTTTAAAGCATAATAAATAAGTATTCCGTGACCTCTTATTATTTAATATATATATATATACAAGTTTCTGAACTAACAAAGATATAAGAAAGCAGAAGATATTTTTTCTTAAAATTTATTTTTATTTTCTCTCTACATAGTCTTCACTTGTGTTTGTTCACTTGCACATCTTGTACACACTTCTCCCAACGATGTTCCCATCTCTCTAAGCCATTCAATAGTATTTGGCGTTTTTCTTTGCAAAATTCTGTATTGGTTTTTCCATTTTGAAGATAATGGATTAAGATAACTCCATAACTATTCCAAAAAATAGTCACATCACTTTCCCAGCCGAAAAACAGTTTTTTTTGGAGCTGGTTCACCCTGTGCAGTCCAAAGTATTGACTATGTTTTTATTTCGGGCGTATAATGTTGTATCCAAGTTTCATATACCGTAATTAATTGGCGCCAAAACCCGGATTTATTGCGCCTAAACTGCGCCAACAGAGCGCTGGAAATATTCAATCGAATACGTGTTTAGTCTAATAACGCGCTAACAGCTTTCTCATGCCTAATGTGATTTAATATGTGACCTACACATTCTTCGAAAATTTTCATAGACTCTGTTATCTCTTTCATTTTAACTCTGCGGTCGTCTAACACCATTTGGTGAACTTTAGCGATGTTATCGTCAGTAAATCCAGTTTTTGCCGTCCCGAATATTTATCGTCTTACAACCTCCCACGGCCACGTTTAAATTCAGCTGCCCAAAATTTCACTGTGGTAAATGATGGTGCAGAGTCTTCAACTCATCTTTGATTTGTGTAGGTGTATTTCCTATCAAAAACAAGAATTTAAAGACAGCTTGATACTCAATTTTTTCCATTTTCACAAAAACACTCACATCGACCCACTCAAATGACTGTCAAATTATAACTACGTGTCCAAAAAGGTTTAGTGCTGTCATCTTCACGTTGAGATCGGAAACTTTTTAGACCACCCCATATACTTAAAAAAAAAAGAATATCAACAATGCTATAAACATTACTAATATTCCCCTTAACTAATCGTGGTAAGCTTAAATTGCTTGTGTTACGAGTGGTGCACGCTAGTAGTCGAATGGTGGATTCAAACTCACGACCTTTTGAGTTCGCGGTCCGTGCCCTGCCATTAGGCTACTGTCGCTCTACGTAACTTTTTACATGAGCAATCATTTTATATTTCTGATAACATATCATCTGTTCTAGATATTGTTTGATTTATTGGTGTGGTATGTGGCACCATAGCTTTGTTTATTAAGCCTTTTTTTGAAAA